CAGTACCGCATTATCAACGAAATACTGGAGGATAGTACAAAAAAACTTCTTTCAGTAGGCAGCAGACAAAGCAATTGTTTTATTCAACACTCTCCCCAGGCCCACCAAACGTCATTGACGAGTGTGCGATGCCAGACTCTATGGAGCAACTCATTCATGTTAGTTTGGTTTTTAGACATCAAAGGAGTCATGCAGGTTGAACTTGTTTTTGATGGCACCAGAGTGAACTAACACTTTTACCTTCAAGTGCTGAAGTGATTGCGTGAGAGGATGACATTAAACAACTGGCATTCAGGGAATCGAGTAGCGGGCGGCTTAATAGCACTACTTCATAGAGATAAAAAATGTTCTGCATAGTGAGAATATCCGTGCATATCTGCCAACTGAGCGCATTTTAAAGGGAGTTAATGTTTTTACGAGGTTAGCTTCAATAAATAACTTTTTATTGAATAAGTCTCATGTTGGGGATACGCCATCATACTGCCCTTATAGGAAAACAGTTCCGCGGCAGTGGTAAAATGTAAAATTTATGGATAATTCTGCAGAGCCTTTCCCTTATGTAAGCACACATAAGCTGTCATTCGCTACCTCTCCAAAATCACGCTTAGTCTATTGCCTACATCCCTGCCTGCCTGTTTCCCACGAAATGCACTACTTGTACTAAATGTATATAATGTGCGCCAGCAATGATACCTTTGCCAATAATTCTATAATTCACCCGTTCCTGCGACAGTATGGTAAATAATTATATATCTTGAAGAGTCCTATTTGAAAACATACGCTTTCGAGCATCCATCATCAGGCCTGTACAATTGATATTGTAAATACGCGTGTTGAACAGGGTTAATAAATGTATTGTGCGCCAGACGCGGACCTTTTTTGCTGAGGCCATGATCTCCATGATGACCTCCTTCTGATAGGCTTAATCCCGTCCAAAGAAAAAACAGCTGAAGTTAGCAAATGCTTCCTGAGGGCGCAGAGATACCTATCTTGAGGAGTAAAAATGGCAGTACTGCATAATCAACGAAATACCAGAGTCACACACAGAAAAAAGAAAATCACTTTCTGTAGGCAGCAGAAAAACCGATTGTTTTATTCAAATCTCTCCCCGCCCACCCAACGCTCTCGACAACTGTGCGGTGCCACAATTTATGGTGGTTGGTTTGGATTTTCAAACATCAAAGGACTAATTCGGACAGAATGTGTTTCTGATGGCACCGGAGTGAACCGACATTTTTATTTGCAAGTGCTGAAGCCAT